GCGGTCCACACGATCAAATACACTCACACTATGTCAAAGTGGCCGGCTAAACACAGCTTATGTCTTAAGTGGAGGAGAACAGTTGGGAGAAAATCTGATGTGTGACAATATATTGTCTTAAAGTGACGGACTGGCGCTTGGGCCATCAATGTTAATCAAACAACAAAATACAAAGAGAAAATCACTCACAGCTCTCAATCTGAATAAATTTATAGCTTTAATAAGCATTAATCTATCAATACATACAGTGAAAACTATGCAGTGTTCATTTACATTTGATTACTTTTAGATTTCTTTTGTAGGCTATTACTTACCTGAACAGTAATAGTAGACCTTCATGGAAAAATAAAAGCACTTGTTTATTTCATTTCATTTGTATATTTGTTTTATTGTATTTGTCAGTTTGTTTTGCTTTGTTTCTTTGTTCATGTTCTTACTGTATCTTATCTTATACACTAAAAATGCCTGCACACTGGTGCATTTACAAATCGATGTTTTATATTCATTTCATTAAATATTTATTTTACATTTCAGAATATAAAGCAATGTTAATTCAGCTTTTAATTTGTATTTGTATATATAGTATAACACAAAAAGTACCGCTAAGAGTAGTGTTAAAGTCCCGGATCGATAAGCAGTATCGGTAATAGCGTTAAACCCTAACGATGCATCCCTGATCGTAGCTATCTCTGAGCCTGTCTCACTGCAGGACACAGCAGCACCGATCACAGAAATCACACGATTGTTTCCCAATCTTTCGTCTGGGACAGATCCTGACAGGGTCCCTATGCAGTGTTCACTGCTCCCTGCATCGCAGAGCCTTTAGAAACCTCTTTCGACGGCTCTCGTTAGCTCTTCCCTACGCCGTTCACAGTGCCCTTCAGAATAGGGTACATGCCTAATATGACCTAAAATCAAAACCTCAATTAATTGAACACTTTAGCTTGATTACGATTATTAAATGATTATTTTATTTTTATTCTATTTCTTGATTTTTGCCCTCATAGTTCTTTAAAGGTTTGTACTGTAAATATACTGAACTACTGAAGGTGGGATATTTGTTTTTCTAACGAAAAATTTCTTATCTTTGCGATTTTAAAATAATTAAAAAAATAAAAAGGAAACACAACTATAAATGGTTATTTGTTGAATATTTCAAACAATTGAAATCAAAGCACACATTGCTTGAAATGAAGACGTATTTTGGAAAAAGTCACATGTCTGTTTTATTGTAAAAAGCATGTTTGCCTACTCTGCTATGTTGCAGTCAGAACAGTTGCCATATATACATCTTAAAGACAATTACTAAATGTCTATTTAACATCTGACAGGATAGTCTTTGATTAGTATTGCAGATGAGCACATCTAATAGACTTGAAACAGGCATCTGAGTGCTGTGTGTGTGCTGTTATGGAGAATTCACTGTTGTCAACACTGCTTTAGATGAATGCAATCATGTAAACAAACAAATCTACATAAAGTAACTAAACATAAGTTATCTATTTTATTTGTCCATTTGTAATATTGATAATTTAAGGAGCATTTGTGTTGAATAAAAAGCGAGTTACCTCAACATGTAAATGCAGTATTGAGCAGATAAATCACAGAGACGCTGCAAACACTAACACATGCAGAAGCTCATCAGTGCCAGAGTGAAGCTTAGCATCAAGGTCTAGGAGTGACACCTGAAAACAACATGAAGGAATCCCTTACAAATATGAAGAATGAATAGGCATATTGTTAATTGTTCATTTGATTCATGTTTTGAAATGTAGTTAAAATAAAACGAACAAATAATGTTAGAATTCATTTCTACGTCATCTTTTTTATGATTTAAATCTCACTTTAAACCATGGAATAAACCTCTTTGAATGTTGTTTGAATTCTAAAATGAATAACTGATTGTGATACAGTGCTAGAGTAGTCCAGTGCTTTCTGTGTGCGCAGTCAGAGCCCGGGGTCAGAGGTCGCGCACATCATCAGTTAACGCTAATGAAGGAGAATGGCGGGTAATTGCGTCGGGGAGCGAGGGAGCGCTTTGATATCGCTCTCTCATTTTCAGAGCCACTCTTTTCTTTCTCCGGCGCTCAGAGGAGCGAGCTCAACTAAAATACATTTCCTCATTTTAATCTGTTCTGTAATTACGAGCAGCTCCCTGATCTACTTAACTACAGACTTCGCTAAGCAAACAGCGGCGCTCCTCTTGGCGTCCCGCGGGAACAGCTTTTGTTCTACTGTATCAGTTTCACTTCCACTCTTCTCTTATTCCCAGATTAAACACACTGCAGCCGCTACAGGACCTTAGAGAGCACAGCTCAGAGGAGCGGCCTTCTGCCGAGCGGTAGACGATGACCAGCACAAACCTTCATACTTCATCCCTGGTCTGAGAGTCAGTTATCAATCTGGCCTTTTGTATGGTTTCATCATGCTATCAAAGCACACTTGAATTAAACCCGAGCGAGAGACAGAGTCACCCCAGAGGTGAATAGCACAGTTGATTATATGATAACAGACATAGATCCTTCATCTCTCAGATCATTCACTGTTAGAGAACTAACCCCTCTGTCTGATCACAGTCAAATCACTGTGCATCTCAAAAAGACAGAAAATAGCATTAACACAAAGCCCAGTAAGCTGTACAACATCAGAAAGCCATACAGATGGGCTGAAAACAGCGCTGAAGAATATCAGAAAGCACTTAGCAGCCAAAAAATACAAGCGCTAGAGACAGAGTGAGTGTGAGAGAGAGAGTGTGAGAGAGTGAGAGTGTGAGAGAGAGAGAGAGACAGCGAGAGAGACAATGTGAGAGTGAGTGTGAGAGAGTGAGTGTGAGAGAGAGAGAGAGAGAGACAGAGTGAGAGTGTGAGAGAGTGAGAGAGAGAGAGAGAGACAGAGACAGAGACAGAGAGAGAGAGAGAGAGA